GCTCTCGCCCACCCCCTCACCTCGGCCGGCACGGGCATATTCTCCGCCGCCGCCTTCAACTCCAACACCGAATCCGTCTGTCTGTCGGTCAGCGGCGCCGTCGTGTCCGGTCTCCGATCCCAGAGAGCCAGCTTTTCCCTAGCGTCTCGGTCCACCGCCGCCTCGGGCAGCAGCAGCAGCGCCGCCTCCGCCATTGCCGCCGCTTCCGCGGCCCTCAGCAGCAGCGGGGTAGAGGGGACCCCAACAGAAACGCCAGAGCCACTTCCGGGAGGACCCGGGCTTCCAGCACCGCACCGGCCGCGGGGCGGGGCGGGGCGAACGGGAATGCCCTGACCCCGGAAACGCTTCCTCAATGTGGGGACGGCAGGACGGAGGTCAGAAGAGACGTGGCTTTAAACGCAGTACAACGATTTCCGGTTGGGATGCTGACGAGGGTGGAGGAGACAAGACCTGACGGAAATAGAAATGCCCCTACCGGAGGTTTCTGCCTCAACATCAATAACTTTATTGTTACGTGTTGTTCGGATTATTGACAGCTGCACTAAATCACCCTGCCGGCGGGGCATTCGTGAGCTCCCGGATCTATAACCTCTGTTCATACACGGGGTAGTCTGGGTGGAGTGTGGAGTGTGTGATTTCCGTGTTGACAATTTCCGCCGCTTAGATCAAAACCAAGAGCATAAACTTTTCCAGCAGCCAATAATTTCTCCGTCAGAAACTAATTTTAAAAGACGCATAAAAAATACAAAGATGTGTATATCTCAGACATCGTTAATAGTATCAGATAATTTTCTGATTTTTTCACCTAAATGTCCAACATTGAAGAAGTGAATCAATAGTTCGGGTACAGACATGTAGTTGGAATACTATTTTGTCATTTAAGTCATGTCAATTTGAGCAACAAAGTAAATAATGATAGTATTGGATCATAACCAGCAGAATATATTAAATACCCACGAGTCTATACTGATACAAATAAATGATTGAATACGTAAATGGCGGAGAACAGCATCCTACCTTACAGAAGAATTCCAATCAATGAATGTAGAATGAGAGAAATAGAAAATCACCATTGGGACACACAGTAATCATTGCAGCAGGCAAGATTTATGGATGGATACTAAAATGAGTGCATGAAAGTGCAAGGAGAAACAGAAATTTGCATAATCCGAAAGAATCTCCCAAGATACCTACTAATAACAAAAGGGAATAGTAACTTTACAGTGAAGAACTAACAGACACTGGCTGGGCGCGGTGGCTCATGTCTATAATCCCAGCACTTTGAGAGACCAAGGCGAGAGGATTACCTGAGCCAAGGGGTTCGAGACCAGCCAGGGCAACTGGCGAGACCTCGTCTTCAAACAAACAAAAAAGACAGGGCATGGTAGTGCATTCCTGTAGTTTCAGCTGCTTGTAAGGCTGAGACGGAAGCATCGCCTGAACCCAGCAGGTCAAAACTCGGTTACCACTGCACTCAGCCTGGGCGATAAAGTAACACTACAACTCAAAAAAAAAAAAAACGGACATGAAGTCAAAATCATCATCATGAAATTCCTGGCATGATAGGTTGAGTATACTGTATAACTTCTGTGATATTCTTGTCAAAAAAGTAAAATCTCTTTTCTTTTCTTTTTTTTAATATAGAGATGGGGTCTCACTATGTTTCCCAGGCTAGTCTCAAAGTCCTGGGCTCACACAGTCCTCCTGCTTCAGTCCCTCACAGTGCTGGAATTACAGGCAGGAGCCACTGCCTCAGAAATCTCACTTTAATCATGAGAAAACATCAAACAAACTGAAACCAGGGACGTCCTACAAAACAATTGACCAGTGTTCTTCAAAAGCATCAAGGTCAGAAAAGACAAGGAAAGTCTGAGGAGATGTTACGTGTTGGAAGAGACTAGGGACCATGACATTTCAGTACAAAGTGGGATACTGGATTAGGTCCTGGGACAGTAAAAGGGCATTCATGGGAAAAATTATAGAACACAATCACAAAATAAAATATCAAAATTCAAGTAAGTCTCACTGTTAGGTAATAGTATTGTACCAATGTTAATTTCCTGATTTTGCACGTGGTTAGGTAAAAAGACAGCATCAGGGAAAGCTGAAGGAAGGTCATAACTGAACTCCCTTGTACTACTTTTGCAAGTTTTCTGAAATCTAAAATTATCTCTAAATAAAGAGTTTAAAAATCTCATCTTATAAACAACATTTATTTGTTTGATGTAAACAGTTGTGATGTAATTAAGAAAAATGAAGCAGTGTATGACTTTATTGGCCAAAGGAAAAACTCCCAAAACACTGACAAATGGTTAAGATTACTGATAATTTTTTCTTTTCCCTTTTCTATCTTTCTCTCTTTCTTTCTTTCTTTCATTTTCTTTTTTTTTCTTTGCAATGAGTTTTGCATTTAAAAATAAAGCTTTTTAAAAATTATTCAATGCAGCCAGGCATGGTGGCTCACATCTGTGATCTCAGCACTTTGGGAGGCAGAGGCAAGATAATTGCCTGAGCCCATGGATTCAAGACAAGTCTGGGCAAATGGAGAGACCTCGTCTGTACAATAAATAAAATAAAATAAAAATCAGCTGGGTGCATGCCTGTGGTTCCAGTTACTTGGAAGGCTGATGGTTGAGGCAGAAGGATTGCTTAAGCCCAGCAGGTCGATGCTGTGGTGGCCCTGAGTGTGCCACTGCACTCCAGCCTGGGTGACAGAGTGAGACTCCAACTCAAAAACAAAACAAAAAAATTATTTAGTGCAGCTTCAGAGTACTGTTTCTCTATTACACCAATTTGCTGCTATTTCCTAAACAAAGTCATTTTGGGTCTGGCACAGTGGCTTATGCCTGTATTCCCTGCACTTTGGGAGGTGGAGGCGAGAGGATTGCCTAAACCCAGGGGTTCGAGACCAGCCTAGCAACTTGGCAAGACCTCATCTCTAAAATAAATCAAAAAATTAGCTAGGCATGGTGGCATGTGTCTGTAGTTCCAGCTACTTGGAAGACTGAGGTGTAAGGATTGCCAAAGCCCAGCAGGTCAAAGCCCTGAGTATGCCACTATACTCCTGCCTGGCGACAGAGTGAGACTCCAACCCACCCCCACGCCAAAAAAGAAAGTCATTTTGTAGATGTGTGACTCTATCTGTCTAAGTGCCTAAAACATATTCACTCCTCTTCTTCTTCCTCTTCCTCTTCTTCCCTCTCTTCTTCCTCTTCCTCTTCTTTTTTTTTTTTTTTTGAATCAGAGTCTCCCTTTGTCCCCAGGCTGAATTGCAGTGACATGGTCACACCTCACCACAGCCTCAAACTCCTGGGCTCAGGTGATTCTTCTGCCTCAGCCTCCTGAGTAGCAAGGACTACAGGCATGCACCACCATATCCAGTTTTATATATATATATATATATATATATATTTTTTTTTTTTTTTTTTTTTAGTCAGGATCTTGCTGTGTCACCCAGGCTGGAGTGCAGTGGCACACTCACCATGGCCACCGCAGTCTCGACCTGCTGGACTTGGGCAATCCCTCCACTTCAATCTTCCAAGTAGCTGGAACTACAGGCTTGCACCACCATGCCCGGCTAGTTTAGTTTTTTGGCTTTTTTTTTTTTTTTTTTTTTACTTATTGTAGAGACAAAATCTCACCAAGTTGCCCAGGCTGATCTCGAATCCATAGGCTCAGGCAATTCTCTAACCTCCATCTCCCAAAGTGTTGGGATTACAGGCATGAGCCACTGTGTCCGGCTTAAATTTTTTTGAGAGACATGGTCTCACTATGTTGCCCACGCGGGTCTCAAACTCCTGGTCTCATGCAATCCTCTTGCCTCGGCCTCCCAAAGTGCTGGCAGACATGAGCCGCTGCACCCGGTCTTATTTACTTTTCTTCAAGCCAAAATGATCCCTAGTTTCATAAATCTCAGGAATAAAATTAATCCTGTTGAATTTTTGTGATGACAGTTCTTTACCAAACATCATCCTTCAAGTGCCAAAATAACGATTTTTGCTCCCAAATGTTATTACAGATTTTCCTAAATCGGTGATCACTCTACTTTCTTCTTAGCATTGCTTTTCATTCCTAATTTTTACTGAGTGATGATTCATGATGCTAAAGGGATGTGGTGCAGGTCATGATGCCCATGGAAGAGATTTGGGCCAAGGTTGGAGGTTTACTCAGGTGTGGTGAAGTCAAATGAGAGGAGAGGAAGGTAGAGGTGCAACACACTGATGCCTGGTCTAGTCTTGAGCTGATGAATGGAGGAAGAAAGAAAAGGGCCCAGCCTGGAGGACACAGTGGAGTCCAGTTGACTGTGTAGGGACTTGGGAGGGAAGGCGAGGAAACAAGAGTAACAGCAGTTTGTACAGGGTGTTGCAACTTTGTAGAAAACGGATAGGAGAATGCACATTTACACAGGCAGTGTTGCTCAAAATCTGATGGAAAGTGTGGTTTAGACTCTAGTGTTCTTTTTTTTTTTCTGAGTTGGAGTCCCACTCTGTTGTCTGGATAGAGTGCAGTGGCACACTCACGGCCACCCCAGCGTCGGTTTTCTGGGCTCTGGCGATCTGTCCTCCTCAGCCTGCCAACTAGCCGGAGCTACAAGCGCATGCTACCAATGCCTGGTTAATTTTTGATTTATTGTAGAGACAAGGTCTCACCAAGTTGCCCAGGCTGGTATCAAACCCGTAGGTTCAGGCAATCCACTCACCTTGGCCTCCCTCCCAAAGTGCTGGGATTACAGGCTGAGCCACCAAGCCCGGCCTAGTGTTCTTTTCTGTATAGAAAAATATTGTCTAGTTCCCTCCCCCGACCCAAAAGTACAAATTTCCTACAGTGGATTCACTTTCATACTCTGTATTACAAATCAAATTTCCTCCTGTTTGTAGGTGGTGATTAGATTATTCCCAGAAGCACTAGACAAAATGTGGAATACATGAGAGAGAAGATGCCCTGGGACCCAGCAATTCTATCTCTGGGAATTTATCCTAGAGACATTTTTATGTATGCAAAAAAGTACACGTGCAGAATATTTGAGAGGGGGAGTGCTTTCCATCATAGACCGGAAAGCCTGCTAGAAAATTCTAAAAGGACTGTAATAGTAGGGTATTTTTTAATAGAGAAAAATTGGATGCAACCTCAATATTTCTCAATAGCAGAATAGTTTTGTGCCTATTATCTGTCGCTGCTTTAAAAAAAAACTAACCCCAAGCTTGTGTCCTAAAACAATCACCATTTTGTTATTATCTCTCTCATGATTTCATGGGTCAGGAATTTCCAAAGGACACATGAGAAAGACTTGTCTCTGCTCACAATATCTGGAACGTAGCAGGAATGACTCAAATGGCCA